AAGAATTATATAAAACTAACCTGAACCATTAAAGCTCAGATCATCTTGCACCTTCATGAAGTTTTGGCTCATGTTTGGGGGATTGGAGAACTACACTCTGGGGATTGCTGTAATCACTATACTCCCCTGAGTATAATCACTAAGCTCTTGTAAGAGCTTGTTCCTGCTATGCTCTCTGGACTCAGAGAGGTCTACCCACTGGAAGATGGATCCTGGTCATAGGTCCAGGGTGGGTAGGAGACGTCGAGATCCCAACCAAGCTGCGGCGGTTCGTGGAGTTTGCAGTAGTTATGGTTTTACAGCGCAGTGATTATGGTACTCGCAAGTACTAGGAAGCAGCGAATGATGGAGGTGCTCGGTCGGGGTGACAGGCTGTCTGTCACACTGCACATATAGAAATATTGTTAATTGTGTGCTGGGGGCTAGTTGCACCCCCAGAACACAAATCATTGGCAGCCCAGAACTCTGTTCCAGGCATCCAATGTAAAGGCATAAAACTCTTTCCCCTGCAGACAGAGCGCCCACAAAGGGAACATTGCTTCTCCCTACCTCCATCCTAATGTGAGCTCTCTCCTACCTCCATCCATTACAAAAACTTTTTTTTTTTAAACTTCCTCCCTCCTCTTCCCTTTTTTTCCCAAATCCCTTCCTCCCCGCGCCGGCCCAGTGCGCATGCACTCTGAGGCAATGAAAAGGTCCAATCACATAGAAAAACCTGCGTGAGGTCCCTGTTACTTCAGAGGGGGGATGGAAATCAGCTCACGGAGCTTTGCCTGACACTGGTTTCCAGGTAAGTAAATAAGTAAAAAAATAAGTTTTTTTTGTAAGTTATACTGCAAATTGAGGGGGGAACCTTCCTGTCCACTGGATTACCCAAGAGTAAAATCAGGAACAAGAAAACACCAAGTAGATATTTCACCTCCTCCCCAGCAACTGGACGAAACACAGTTCTGGGAGTACAACTGGTTTTATTCTTGCCACACACGGCTTTTATACATTGCCCCTAGCATGGGGTTTCTTAGTCACAATTACAGGGCTTTTCTTCCCAAGATCCTCTGTGCCTGAGAGATAATTGCGTGAGAAAAAACTATAACTCAATTATCTCTAAGGTACAGAAAAATCTACAATATTTAAATACATCTAAAAATACATTTTAACAACTTCAGAACCCCACGAAAGTCACGGAATAGCTTGGATCTGAGAGCACACTTTGCCAAAATATCACTCAGATCCCTTTGGTGGTTCTGGAACGCCATTCGAATTAAGTTTTGACCAGTCGGTCATGAGGTGATGCCCCAAAACAGTTCCAGAGAAAACAAGGCAACGGCCGGTCATCTTTCGGGGGTTCTCACACGAACACGGATAGTTAGTATATGAATGCTCCCCTGGCTATTAGTATACGAATGCTCCTCTGGCTGTTTGTATACGAATGCTCCCCCTTTTCGGTAGTTTATGCAGGACAGCCTAACAAAAGGGAATAAACATGAAGCTAGAGCATCCATTCCGCTACAGTGCCCAACAGGGAATTTTACACAGTAAACTCCCCCACCCCCCCAAAAAAAGGGATGGAGTATCCCTTAAAGTACCAGTTTTTCAAATATGGGAACATGCTAGAGCTGAGGTTGAGGAAACTTATTACTGTAACTCATTAACTGTCTACACTTGAAATAGGTGTTGTAGTTCTTAAATGAGAATTTGCAAACCTTTTAATATGTATTAAAAAATAAATAAATAGCAGCATCTCATGAAATAAAATGGTTAACACACATTGTGTTCAATCTTTTATTCAATGGAGAAATGACATTTACGTGTAGATGATTTGGTGATAAAGCAGGTTGGAATAGGGGCAATGAATGACTTAATATTAACCTGGATGGAGGGTAACTGGGAAAAGTCAGAGTAACTCAGTAGCATGTGAATTGTAAGTGAATTTTTAATTGTAGGTCACAAATGCAAAATTGCACAATTCATACTGTAGCACACTGCCTGAAGTGTTTTTAAAATTCCCTTTTATATCTGTTGGTATGGCCCTGAATGTTGTGCAGCTGTACTCCGTGTGTTCGAGGAATGCAACTGATAACACATCTGTAGCATAGTCACAATAATGTGTGGTTGGAGTATATTTAAATTTTAATAAGGTTTGCAGCCCATCCCAAAATATAGGCATTGCTTTATACCTCTGTTGACTTTGGTAAATTGACAACTGAGTGAAGAAATGTTCTTATGCCAAAACAAAAAAAACATCTCCCCAAAACCAGTGAGGAGATGGTGTAGCCCTTATAATCCTTTGGCTTTAGGGACACTATAGTCACCAAAACATATTTAGCTTAATGAAGCAATTTGGGTGTATAGATCATGCCCCTGCAATCTCACTGCTTAATTATTTGCCATTTATGAGCTAAATCACTTTTGTTTCTGTGCATACGTTCATAGGGCTCCTGCAATGTCTAGAATGCTAGTAACAGTGCAGGAGATAAGAAATTCTAAATTAAACAAAATTGGCAATAAATAAAGTGTAAACATTAGATGACTGTTTACAGGAAGTGCTTAGGAAAGTTGTGTAGGCCACATACAGGTAGGTGTGACTAAGGCTGCACAAACAAAGGGATTTAACTTCTAAATGGTTGAGCAGTGAGACTGGAGGGGGATGATCTATACATCAACACTTTGTCATTAAAGGGACACTCCAGGCCCCCAGACCACTTCTGCCCATTGGAGTGATCTGGGTGCCAACTCCCATCATCCTTTACATTGCATTTTAATTATTGCAGCTTTAAAGGGACACTCCATGCACTCAGACCACTTCTGCCCTCTGGGGTGGTCTGGGTGTCAACTCCCATCACCTTCAACCCTGCAAGTGTAATTATTGCAGGGACTTCCAGGTTCCTAAATGTCTTTTTGGTCCCTTAAACAACGCTGGACTCCCTCACGCTATGCATGAGGTCCTCCAGCATTGCTGGAATACCCATAGGAAAGCATGTGCATTGGGTCTCCCGCGCTGACAGAAAACATAGGTGGAGGAGCATGGGCGGAGCCTGACCCAGCACTGAGGGACATTGGCGCTGTATTCAGGTAAGTGTCTGAAGCAACCTGGGATGGGGGGCAGGAGGGAGGGGGGCACTGTAGGATTCTCTAGTGCCAGGAAAACGTGTTTGTTTTCCTGGCACTGTAGAGTCCCTTTAAGCTAAAGTTCTTCTTTTGCCTATAGTGTCCCTTTAATTATACTGATAAAAAGCCAGATGGTTCTGGCAGTATGGGAACATTTTGGTTGCAATGACGTAGGGTAGAATATGTACCAATAGTGCTTACACTCTGACCATCTGTCCTTCTGACAATAAATCCAATATATCCAATATATCCAATGCAGAAATTTACAACAAGAACACAAAGACTTATTTGAAGTATACAATTCAAACAAGTACTTTTTAGAAATAGTTACATGTAACTTGTTGAAACAGGATTCAATGAAACAAATGTTTAGATGTCTCTATTTGTTACAGTTTCTTTAATTTGGGGAAATAATTGAAACTTCATTTTGATGGTCTGCAATGAAAGGTCCTTTGTACCAGCTATTGGGAAACGTATTAATCATTACAGGAGCAGTTGTTCTAAAAATAATAGTAAAATAATAAAATAAGTTTCAGATCAGAAACATATGAGAGCTTTTTAAGAAATAGATTTTTTTTTTCAATTGATTATGAAAACAGCTTTCCTGTACCATTATGTCTGCATTATGTATATACTACAAACTGAATATGTTGGTTTTATAAATATAAAATAACACAAACATGTCAATAGAATGATCACCTGAGCTGTGAGGTATAGCTGTAACCTTTACCTGGCCTAAAGAATTCTAGTCCATAACAGTGAGTCTGAATGTAAATCAATGAATTGTCATTTATAGTAAATTTAATATTCATTTTTGAAAAATCAACAAATTCTACAGTGGGTGTAATAGAAATAATTGTGTAGATAAGCAGACCCCAAAATGATCTCAATTAAAAAAAACTCAGTATTCTAAAAAGTTAACTTTTTATATATTTTCCAATTCCAACAATTTTCTTACATAACTAAACATTTTTTTCTCTATGCACTTGCTGTGATTTACATGACCTTTCTTACTCAGCCAATTAACATAATCTGACTATTTAGTAAATACAGGCTAGTCATTCCATTGGATTATATTCACTCAGCAGCAAGTTGTGTGTAGCCAGCTGACTAAGGATTTACAATATTTAGGCCAACATGAGGACTGGAAGAAAATGTCTATGGAATCCCTTTTCCCTCCCACCACCACCTCCCCCCTTCCTATTGGGGTATTGGGATTAGCATGCCCCCACCAAATGCTTGGGATATTAATGTGAGAATAAAAATTAAGGAGCAGGTGATTAAATCATTCTGCTTAATTTGGGAGTCAGTTTTATCTGAAAGCAGTTTAGGAAGGTGATTTTCCCCAAAAAAATATAAATAAAACAAAAGTGTTTACAGCCATTTACAGAGAAATGTGAAAACTGAAATATATAGTAAATGTTTTTGAAATCTAAATAAAGATCATTAAAGCAGCATCGGTTTTTTTAGCACTAATCCCATTCGTTTCAGCTCTTCCTGTAAAAATGACAGTAATTACAAATATAATGGGGAGTCGTTTTTTAACTAGATATTCATTACAAAATGAATTTATAGTCACAGAATATAAAAAGCCAGTGAAATATATGAAATAGAATAATAACAGATTTTTTTCACCTTTAAGTGGTACTGTCCTTTTAAACCAAACAGACCAGAAATATTTTATGTTTGTGACAATCAATTAAAATCAATGTTATCTGAAGAGAAGTCTGCCTGTTGTATAAGTTGAGTCACACTAACGTGTGTCTGTGTGTGTGTGTGTGTGTATCTGTGTCTGTGTGTGTGTGTGTGTGTGTGTGTGTGTCTGTGTGTGTGTCTGTGTGTTTATGTACACACATATATACACTGTTTTTAGAACAAATAATAATCTGTTTGTCTATGTGTCTGCTGCTTATCAATATGTCTATCTATCCTCCTAGTCGTGTATTATAAGTGTGCAGAAACACACTGTTTTATTATTACTATTTTTTTTTTCAATTTCATTAGGCAGTTTCAAATTTATGGTGTACTTAGGAAAGATTTAATAATGTCCTTCTGCAGGACTGAGGAGTGTCACATAAAAAACAGAAGCTGAAATTACAACAAAACACAACATTTTTTTATTAATGTAAATCAGATCATCACTAGACAAGACCCAATTTCTATCCATTACTATAATCGTTTGTCTAAGGAACAGAAAATTCAGAGAGGCTATCTAATTTCAAGCGTTTCCACCCATTCACAGAGATACAAACTCACAGATAAATAAACCGAAAATGCTCGCCATATATACAAATTCCTGTTAAATTAAGCATAAATAAATATATACAAACTCAACATTATTTTGCCCTCCCATATTTTTTATTTTCCTTTTTTTCTCTCTTTTTCATTTTTTTCTATGTATATTTTTGTGTGTTTTTTTATTTAGTTTTTTTTGTTTGTTTTTCTAAACAATGAGTCAATCCTCTCTTTGAAGTTCTGCAGGATATTTGTATGAAATGTTAATGAAAAATCACATAAAATGAGATGGATACGAAAATTTTAATTAAACAGGAGACACGTCTGTGTGGTTGGCACATAGCAAAATGTTATGTTTAGACTAAAAAAAAAAATCATATCTGAGAATTCACCTCTGTTGGTTGCAGATTTTATGACATAAAAAGGGGTATTTTATGCAATTTTACTGGGAAAAGTTGTTTTATTTTTTATATTTTTTCGACTTTCCCACAAATAATATGAAATCAGATAAATAAAAATCAATATCTGGAATATTTTGCAAATGGTATACCTAAAGGTAACGCTTTGTATGAGCAACATCAAGCTGGTTAATATTTATTAATAATATATTATTTGTGGCTTGTCTTAAGGTCAAACGTAACTATCCATTCACGATAGGCTGGGTGAAAAAATACTGTCAATTATTTATTTTATAACAATGAAACATCAGGATTACTGTCCAAATTAAACGCTTTTAACGCACAAAACATTAAAGAGGTAAAAAAATTAAATGCACATTTTTCCAAGTTAGTCAAATATACGGACAGATTGAATTAGCAATAAGTAGTGTGTATTGCTGAGTTTAGGAAATAAAGATATGACGTAATCTAACTGTACTATGGGTTGTGATTTGTGGTGACGTATGGACAAACTTGGACAATGTGGGACAAAATTGACCAGTTTGGAGAATCCAGTTACACAGAAGTCAGGATTTCCAATGCAGTTTGGTTTCTATGTTGAAAGTAAATACTTAGTCACCATAATTCACAGCTTAGTGAATAGATCCCTTCCATTATATAGTTAAATGTTTTAAACTCCAATTTTTAAATTAAGGGCACAGATTCAGAAATAAAATAAAATCATGACGGAAATATTCCGTCATGTGTTCTTAAGGGGATAATGTTTGTGTGTGTTTGTGTGTATATTGTTTGTTTGTTTATGTTTATTTAGGGGGTATTTCTGGTGTGCAAAATTGTTTTGATTGTATTTTAATTTTTATTTTGTTTCTAGGCTAAAACAACTATGATATATGTATGACAGCATTTTTGTGTTGTTTAGATTATTCATTCTACTGAGTATATTATGATGCATTTGTATTTATTATCTAAGCATCAAATAAGTGCTGTTTATTTGGGGAGATGTCATTTAAATGTATGGATGATAAACTTTTTGAATTCTCTGTTAGTACAATTTTAAAATAGAAATATTTTTTCTCATATCCAACCAAGACAACATTTATTTTCTAATGCATTGCCAAATCTTTGGACGTGTAAAATTATAAATTCAATTTCACAAAACCTAACATCAAATTAAAATCACAGTTTTAGATTTTCGAAACTTGAGTCATTTTCCTGTTTTGCCATGTGAAATGCATTGCTGCAATTATATTTAATAAAATATGATATTAACTATCTCCCTATTTTCTCTGCAGAGATCAGTGGGCAACTCTAACCTGCAGTGATTACTAATGTTTATGTGAGCTGATTTAACTTGATAGTACTGCCTTAATATAAATATATATTTTTTCTACCTCGTGAAGGGGTTAAAAGTGCTCTTAAAATGTATATATATATCTAAGGGGTCTGAAATATGGACAGAGGTTGTCTCCCCCTCTCCAATAATTAGTGGTATGGTATTGTAAAATCATTTAAAGTGGTCATACCTATTTTTTTATGGGAGGGGTTGATTTTTTTAATTTATTTTTTTATTTTTCCATTTAGATAACATGTTGCTCTGTAAAAGCTATCCATATCAGTCGATGATTACCCTTTAAAGCCCCCTTCTCAAGAGGAAAACGTAGACGTAACGTCATATGACCCATTTTATTGTATACATAGCAAATATAGTAAATTAATATTTTTAATTGCTTTTGTGTGATTTCCTGAGCCAAATTATTGATTTATTTTGTTTTTATTTATTTATTATTATTTTTTTGTGCTGGCTGAATTAAATTGTTAAGGTATATGTTTTATTGTATTATTCAATGGCATTTAAAGAGAAAAGAGGTTTTATAATACTTCTAATATAACAGTTACAGAACAACATCCTTGGTGAACAAGGACACATATTGAATGTTGTATATCCATTCCAGGCTAGCACTGCTAAATGCCTGAAACAAAATAACACAGAAATATAAAAAAAGCTAAATGTAGGAAAGTATAAATCAACATAAATTCTATTACTTATATGGGGGACCTTTTAACCAAGGGGTACAAACACTTGGCAACATGTTTTACAGTGAATTGTCAAACCACATATATTACAACAAATAATGTCCAGAACAGTATGAAAAACAATTAAGAGATAAAAAATAAAATAAAAACATCCTTTTGTTGGGTAATAGAATAATGGATGACACATTGAGGGCTTCCTGATACCAGTGTCATCATCATCACACATAGCCTCATCTGCAATAGTTAGTCCACAGTTAAATACTCTACATGTGGAAATTATTGGAAAATCTCCAACACACTGGTGAGATGGCAACAAGGTATCTGAATGTTCCACAGCAAATGATCAAATTCCATTTTTTGTTATGATTCTGAAGAAAGCTCTTTATATGATAAACGTGCATCTCAGGAACCAAAGAATCAAAAATGTTCCTCCAATATTTCTCCAATAGGTGATTGTTCTTCTTAGGGTCTCTTAGAAAGTGTGATGTTTTTTATTAAAAATTAAGACATTACAAAGGGAGTTGGATTGCAAGCGTCCTGGTCCTCAGATAATGAGCCTGGTTTGTCTCTGTGCAGTTGGATCAAAGGTTGCTTCTCTGATGGGGCTCAATCTGATATATATCTATATATAGTTGTATTTTTTTCCAAAGCCAGTCCAACATATTAAAGCTAAAATGAAAGGTGTTTCAGTATTTGTAATTTCTGCTTTCATTTTCGGTGTTTTTCTTCCTTGTCCCCGTTTTTACTGCCTGGACCTTCCCCAGAAGTATGCCTGTTAGTGCCGTTGTTGTTCAAAAACATCTTGTCCATTCCTTTGAGGGCCTCAGTAAGGTAGTTTTGGAGAGCTGTCAGAGCAGCACAGATGGCTGGAGATCCAAAGCCATGGGTGATAAGACTGAAGTGAGTCAAGCAGCTCTGGATCCCAGGTTCCAAAATTGGACTGGGCCTGCTGTTACCTATGGGAGTTCTGTCTTGAGCCAAGAGGTCTGTGAACTCTTTACAAAGCTGCCTGGGGAGGTAAAAAGGAGACAAAAACCCGAGGGCATTACAAACAGAACACAGAACTGACATAATGATTGCAGGTTTTAATGCTCAGAACACAGGTTGGCAGAGACAGATTCCCCATCACCAGCTGATTTTGGTGTACAGGGGAGGGACAGCACATGGGTGATCAGCTTTATAGGGTAATGGATGAGAGACTGGAGAGAGAGAGAAAGAGATACGGAAATTGGAAGAGACACAGACAGATACAGAGTGATAGGGAGACTGAGAGAGACTGAAATAAACGCAGACAGGTACAGATCCTGTGAGACAGGAATAGACAAATACAGATGCAGAGTGATGCAGACATTGAGACAGAAAGAAACAGACAGAGGAAGATATACAGAGACACAGAGATAGACAGAGACACACACCGGCAGATACAAAGAGATACAGAGACTGAGGGATATAGAGAGAGAAAGACAGACAGATACAAATAGATACAGAAACAAAGAGACACACAGAGAGAGACATAGACAGATACAAAGAGATACAGAGACTGAGAGACATAGATACACATAGAGAGAGAGACACAGACAGATACACAACCAGGTACAGAGACTGAAAGACGTAGAGACAGAGAGAGAGACAGACAGATACAAAGAAATACAGAGATTGAGAGACACAGAGTGAGAGACACAGACAGATACAAAGAAATACAGAGATTGAGAGACACAGAGTGAGAGACACAGACAGATACAAAGAGATATAGAAATTGAGAGACAGAAAAAAAGAGACCTCTACAGGGAGACAGAGAGACTGGGAGACAAATGTAAAGTGACATAGATACAGTGATAAAGACAGATGTAAAGATACCTATACAGAGAGATTAAAGACAGTGACTTAAAGACAGAAATTGGACCATTGCAAGAAATAAAAGTGAAATGAAGAGAGATACATTTATGATGTGAATAGAAAAATTGTGAGAGAAGAGAAATAGTTGAAAAGAAAAGATGTGTAGAAAGTAAATGTTATGGAGAAACTCTGGTTCTAATCCTATTCTGCTGTAGTTGGATGCTCAGAGACCCTCTGATTCCGGCTGTAGAATTTCAAGTTACTTAACGGGACTCTTGGGTCACCATAACAACTTAATATAAATGAGGTTGTTATGGTACCTGAACTGTCCCTTTAATTAATTAGCTAGTCATTTCCAATTACTCGCTTTGAGATACCTATCAGCTTGGTAGCTTAAGTGCCCTCCAAGGCAAGATCAGGGAATGCAGACAGCTGATAATTTGATGCCCACCAAGGCACAGAGCCCAGACTGCTTATATAAGACCAGCATTGTGTCTATACAGCCCTGATTCTGTCATTTCCTTGTGACACTGTTACTCTTCTCTCAAACTTTGTAACTTGGCTAGTTTTGGTTATTTGTTGGCTACTAGCTGATACTTCTTATAAGATACATAGTATTGCACTACATCTGCACAATGTCTAGAATACTATGTGTATAATTTCTTGCAGTTTTTTTAGGATCTATAGTCCTATGTTTTTTTAATTGATGTTTTCTCATTTTGAATGACTGATTAAAGTTTTATTTTACTTTTATGTGCAATTTTCAAGTTCTGATTAATAACTTCATTTTTTTCAAGTTTCCACGTTAGGGGGACCCTTTCTTACAACCTCTGTTTATTAGCTCTTACTGTTTGTCCTTCTTCTCTCTAAAACCACCGTTGCAATCTGTCTCCAGATCCCAAAGTAAACGGTGTTATTTAATGCTCCTTTAAGGTTAAAGGTGTTATGGGATAATTCTTGGTTTTCCTGGCGTGTCAATCAAACTTCCCTCACCAATAAAACCGAGAAGGAAATTTTACATTTAGAAGGAAAAGGTTCTCAAGTCACTCATTATTCATCTTCAAAGTCAAATTGGGGGCGATCTGCAACTAGTTAAAGGTCTGAGACAGTGATACCTTTTGACCTGAGAGAAGAGGGCAATGAGATTTAAATCACATTAAAAAGAAAACATGTGCTCACATTCACATAAATTGTTATCATTATAATATTGGGATGTAGCTTCTGTTTCCCACATAGCCTGTCTGTCTACTTATATATCTGTCTGTCTGTGTGCCTGTCTTCCTCTATGCCTGTCTATCACTCTGATGGCAGTCCATCAGAGATAAACTGAACAATGTCTCCAGATCCCAGATCTTTCCTTTCCAGACAGGTCCCATTGTCAGTCCACCCTGACAGTGAAGCTGATTGGTCATGCTGCCTGTTGCTAGACCAGCTATCACCCACTGATGCCCATACAACAAGGCAATGCCAACTTGGCAACCTCACATAATGCAAGATAACACCAGCCCTTTAATAGCCACAGAGCTATTTCTTTCCATCTGACTGAAAAATAGAGTAAATTACATGGGCAATAAAAATACTTATAGCGATAAAATTAAGTATTGACATTATTAACTGTTGCTGTGAGTTTATCACTTGCAGGTTCAGGTACCTCATGACGTCATGAGACAGAGAGCACACTTAGAAGGAAACAGTGAGAGGAACTAATCCAGAGAGACAGATAGAAGAAGGTGACAGGATGGGGAGAGAAAATGACAGACAATATTCCTGTGTTATAGTCCATGTCACACTCACTTTGTAGCCAGGAGCATGTTCTTTCTGGAGTGCAGATCAGTGGGGTCTGTGTGTTGTCTGTTGAGATATTCTGACACTGCCTTGGCTGGAAATTCGGTTTCACAAATATATCCAAAATCCCGAGCTAAATGGACAGCTTCACCTGCAAAAAGAATTGTACGTATTCAGAGAAATCCCCTTTACGAGCCAAGACAATATCAGTGGCTTCGATCTGGCACGTTAAGGGTTAAAGAGAAGGAACATTGGCGCATTCTAGGTTCCACTATAGCTGCAGGTTTAAGCAGCGTTCCAGTGACAGACACGTGACTGCCCCGAATTTAACCCTCTCCTCCCCGGCTTGTGAAGTGAAAAATAATTTGAGCACAAAGCTATTAAAAATCAACAGTGACAAATCAGTCTAACTAAATGGTATGTTGTAAATGTTAATCGTATATTGGGATACACCAGAATTATTACTAATATAAAAAACTGCTATAAGAAAAAAGGGAACATCGCAAGCATTTGTATTGGTAAATATTAACCGCAACACCACGATTAGCAACGCTTGTGATAATTATATTTTTTAATAGATAAATACAAGGATATTGATGGTAATGCTAGATTAATAGCTGATCGTGATTATCAGCCCACGATGATAAGGAAAACATGAGTTCTCAATGAACATTTATTTATTAATAAAAATAAAGTAGTAGTTTTTATAAATATTAGTATAAACATTAAACCATTATTTGAAATATTATGGATTGTAAAAATATTTAAAATCGTGTTGTGATTGATAGTAAATAGTTATGTGTACAGTTTATTATAACATTTATAGGGGAGTTATTACTACTATACCAAATTTCAAGCAAGATTTTTTGTTAGTGTTATTTGTATTAATTAAAGTAAAATATTGTTCTTTAATTATCAATGGTAACCCTAATATATTTTAACCTATTATATTAAGTAGAGCCAGTATTATTTTATTTGAATTCCCTAAAGCAAGCAGTTTTTTAAGTCGTGTGCACTTTGTAGGTGTTTAAAGGGTGGAGATTGACAGGATGAAACAAATATGATGTTTTCATGGGGAGAGTAAAAAAAAAAAAGAATAATTACGCTAAATATAATTCTAACTGTCATTTTCTCTGCAACTTGGTATCATGTTTCTAGCCTAAAGCTTTAGAGTACGCTTTGTGCTCTTAGGCATGCGATTTCCAATAGTTAGAATGTAGCAAGCAGGGAGCTGGGAGGGGAGTCAGGCTCTGGGGGGATACTGGAAGATTAGAAAGCTAGCAGGTACCTGGGGGGAGTCTGTAGGGGACAGGGAGGGGGGTACTGGAAGGATTTCAAACACAAAACTAGGCAAGCCCTAGCCCTTCAAATTTTTTTCCAATGATGAGGGAGAGTAGCTAAGAAAAACAAAAACATGCCAATTTGGGCTAATCCATACATACTCATTAACACACAATCAACTTTTCAAAGTTCTTTATCAATTCAGTGATCTCAAGCCATAGTGCAGTCAGGCTTGCTCTAATGTTTAATGCGATCTTTAAATGTAGCTGAATTAATTAGGAATAAAACTGTTTGTTTTTTTTCCTGCTTTGTGCAATATAAAGCGCCCTCGCAAACATATCCAAACATACTACCCCCTCCAACACACACAAACACAGACACACACACACATTTAAAACCATACGAAACGTTGGCCTGAAATGATATTTTTCACTAACAAGTCCCCAGTGAAATGCATGGCGGCCTCTTTATCAAGTCCAATTCTGAAGTCACACTCATATTGGCACACATACACGTACATTATAAAACAATGTAATGAAATATGTACTAAATAGTAACCTGTATAATTAAACCCAATAAATGACTATTTCATTTCAGCACAGTCATTTTTTCCTTATTTTAGTTATTGTGGCCATAATTATAAAGTCATTAATTGGGCTTACATTTGTAATAGTTTTAATAATAAAACCATAATTTATATATATATTCACTGGATGGTTTATAGATTTCCTGAATATTGTAGATATGATTAACTGATTCGATTTGGGTAAAGATTCTAAAAAAATAAATAAAAACACACACACAAAAAACACTCACACGCAAAAATATGTGTATTCATTATTTAATCAATCCAGTTGTTCGATATAACTTGTTTTACTCATTAAATATTTTCACTAAATGATACACCTAGCAAAACCTATTTAGAAACGCTGAGCATACCCTATATAACTATGTAACTACAACTATGTAACGATTTGTACAATTACATCTTTTAAAAATGATACATAGCAGTTTGTATCGATCTTGTGAAAAAGAGGGTTAATACAGTTTCTTGTTTAAAAAAAAATAAAAATAAACTGGCAGGGGTTATTTAAGTTAGAATTCATAGTGAGATTTACATTTAAGGCCAGAGTAGCCAAAAAAAAAAAAAATGACAGCAGAGTTTTTAAATGTGAAATTCTCTAAAAATAACTCTACCTGTGTTACTGTATTTATGTATTTTATATTATGTGTATTTTTTTATTGTAATCGTGTAATCTTATATATATGGGAAATATTTAGAATCACACAGGGACCTTTGACTTTGACTTGTATTTGCAATTGCAGACGATCTGCCTTTTTTTCTTATTTACTAACAGGCGATTATTACATAATGCATTCGAGTATCCCTGGGTGGGTGTGTAGGTAAGTGGGTGCGCCAGATGATAGGTTTGTTTCTCTGAGTCCGATGCCTTGACTGTACCCCCCGGCGCTCACAGGGTTATTCAATTGTTGTGTCAAAACCATGCCAGCTTAAAAGATATTATGTAACATATTTTAAAACAAACGTTAGATCTCTGATCCCTCTCAATAGAAATTCGATGCTGCTGGGGATTGCCATTAAATAACCTCCATATCAATTATCATTAATTAGGGGGTTAACAAAAGTAGTACAAATGTCAGTGCATGTCTAAATGTAATGTAATGACCATTTTATAAAAAAAAAATCGGTGTACAATCTAAAGAAACCGAAAAAATAATGAAACAGTACTCAATTTAGCACAGCAATTTGAAACATCAGTCTCAATATTTATTTTAATTATTTATTTTTAAGTTGTAAAAAAAAATGTGCTATTTGTTTTGATTTAAACATTATGACATCAGCCCCCTTAATTACAGATTTATCATTCAATAAATGTATTGTTATGTTTCAGACAGATGATACCATTTTCTAGGTGACCATATGCTTCAGAACTAACTTCTAAGAAGGGATTATTATTGTGTTACAAGTAGATGGATGTGTGCTAATGATTAAGGACTCACATATCAAATATTAACCAGGAGGGGGAGGGAGGTCTGTTTTCATTTTTAGAGCCAAATACAATAACTAAAAACCCTATGTCCACCATATGTGGCTGTAATGGTGTCTTAGATATAGAAGAGTTAAAGCCACCCTGTGTTTAGCTACCCACACATCAAAAGCCAATAGACAATAATTAGAGTGTTTGCTGGCTGTTGCTGATGAAGTGTCTGCTTACCTTCCACCAGTGAGGTTAGTAGCGTAACGTTGGCTGCCTTACGCCTGCCTGCGGGCAAATTCAAGCCGATTTTCTCTAACCTCTCTCGTAAAGATCTCCCCCCATTTTTCGATTTTGCTCTGAAATTGGATAGATTAACATTGCGATTAACCTTCACTTTATTGAAACACTGGGGATTGTAGGACAGAGTGTGTGTCTGTGTATGCGTTTCAGTGTGTCTTTTAGTGCAGCAATGTATGATGCTATATTTTTTATTTGCGTGCTTGTGTGTACGTCATGCTGCCATGTCTGTTTGTGTGTAAAGTGTGTGATGGCTATTGGGTGAGCGTCTGTTCATGCTGGATAATTTCAGTTTGTACGAAGATTGAATGCCTCAGTGATTGTGTATGTGTGTGAAGTGATTGTGCATGTGTTTTTATCCCAAATAATGTGAACACAATAAGTCTTACCATAACTATTACATTGTGTTTTCTGTTACCATGTTGGCATATTTGATAACATACTAGGCTGTTTGGATGCGTTTGTGTGCGTTTGTCTTTGGGCGTTGATGTGCTTAGTTCTAAGTTTTTCAGTTAATATTTTGCTAATGGCATATCGTGATTGTGTGTGTGTGTGTGTTGTGTTTGTCTGTGTGTGTGTGTGTTTATATACAACATAAACGTTATATGCACAATTTATTTGTGTTTTTACCTCTATGTGTGTGTGTGTCCATTTGTTTATTCCAGGACATGATCGTGTATTTTAAATCTGGCTGTGTTGTTTTCTATTGTATATGTGACAGTGTCTGTTTGTCTTTTATTTGTGCTTATACTGTAGTTTTTTGTTTTTGTTTATTTTTTGTCCAGGTAACTTGTGATAATATGTGGTAAGTAATTTTGTGTTTGTTTGTTTGTTTGTTTGTATGTGTGTGTTTAAGTGAGTGTGTATGTTGTCAAAACTACAAGAACATCATTCCCCAATAAGTTCCCAACAGTAATTCTCTATTAACATCACAGTGTCTCAGGGTAGATGTTTGCTGTTAGAAGCAGAATCTATCTCCTGCTACAAGAGGTATACATCTCATGTATAGTATATTTTCTCATGTACAGGGAACGAGTGATGTATATATCCAGCTTAATAAGAATAATATACAAAAAGCACAGGAAACCATAGGAGGACATTTAGAGACCCCTTTGCTCTCTGCTGCTGTAGATATTGTCTATAAATTAATTTGTGGATACTCTAGTCATTCGTTCCTGTAAGGCTTTATGTGTGTCTACAGGTAATCAATATGGGGCAGCACATCCCTGAACAAGCATGATTAAATAACTGTCTAGTATAATAAGGCTGCTGCACTGCCTGTTACAGGGACATAGATTGCAATACATACACACACATATACATAGGAGCTCATCTACACTTTATCTCACACCAGCCACTATTTTAAGAAACTGTGTGAACACCTAACATCCATTTTGTTTAAAAAAAAAGAAAAAATATTTTAAATCGACCTCAATATAACTTTGACTTTTATTACAAGTCATTTAAAGGAGCTGTAAGTGTTTATTGTTGTGGATATATAAACATATTAATAGGTCTCTATTAGTTATGATGCAGACTGGAGTCTAGTGGGAGAATATTGGACTGGTCCTGATTTGGTACATTTTGTGTTAGGGCTGGGTAACCTTACATGGACAGCTGTGCTAGGTAGTACACATCCAAACAGCACCTTGTATAACATGTAACCTTAGCTGTATCAGAGCCAGAGGAATGTATTGGTTCATTTGATAAGGTGTGTTGTCACATTAACACCTCCCCTGCCAATCCCAAACAGCGAGGAGTTCCACACAGACTCACCTTCTGAGTACACCACCAAGCAGGGAGGCATTCAGACACTCTGGTGGGGACAGACGTCTCTGGACCTCCCCCACTGTCACTTTATACTTAGATGTGGAGCTGAGCAGGGACAGCCGACCAGGTACTGAGCAGAACACCTCTCCTGCATTCACAGACATACCTCCCAAAAAACCATCCTTATTCATCATAAGAGAGGTCACAGATTTCGGTGGGACTGGAACTGCGAACAGAAGACAAAAGGACGATGTCAAATATTGATAAGTGACCATTTCACTCGGTAGCTGAATAGTTAATAATACATTTTGGGGGAGACACACAGTTCTCTTCAATATTTATAACTGCTGAATAAATTGCAATTATTAAGACCAGTGGCGATCGAATTGTTTATTTTTGTCTACCATTATTTTTATTATTTTTAAATTATTTTAATAAATCTATCTATCTATCTATCTATCTATCTATCTATCTATCTATCTATCTATCACTATCTATTTATCGTTCTGCCTGTCTATCTATCTATCTATCTATCTATCTATCTATCTATCTATCTATCTATCTATCTATCTGTCTGTCTGTCTGTCTATCTGTCTGTCTGTCTGTCTATCTATCTATCCATCTATCTATCTATCTATCTATCTATATCTATCTATCTATCTATCTATCTATATATCTATCTTTCTGTCTGTCTGTTTGTCTGTCGCATTTCGAAATTCTGCAGAAAAAAGAACATCATTAATTTGTCTTATTTAATGTGTTTTTTCGAATCCTTTTGTTAATTAAACTAGCGAATTACAGGATCATTTAAAGAGGCCGAATTAATAATGTGTCACCGTTAACGGATATTGAACCTTGATAGAGAAACTTTCTAATTAACGCCCACTGTATTTACTAACAGTTAATCGTGTTCGGCCAAAACAGGTGAAATGGGCTCATTTAGTTCAGGAAATGCAAGCTGGTTAGTTCACGTCGTTTTTTTTATTTTTATTTTTTTATTTTTTTATCTTGAATTCGGAAAATAATTTTAACTGGAATAAAAATAGCTAACTGTGAGCTCTGTTCATTAGTTACTGCAGTTTCATTAATATGGCAATATAGTTATAAAATTGTCATCAGCTCTGTTTGGGTTTCCACCTGAAAAATGTAATTCGATTACAAAAACAACTGTTATTTTTAAAGCAATACAAATTATATTAAACTGCAGGTATTTGGGTCTGGGTTGAGTGGTGGTGACTCGAAATTCGAATATTTTTTATTTTATTTTTTTTTTAAAGGCTAAAATAAGCAAGATGGGAAAAGGAGCTGAAATTGCGAAATTAGTTCAAATTTTTGGACAAAATTTAGCAATTCGTGTTTTAATTCGCCACAATTAACCGATTAGCGAATAGTACTTTTTCGTATTTACTGAAGGTAAATCGTGTACTTACATATAATTTACACGTCCTTATAAGAGCAATTATTTTCATTCGAGGAATGTGTATTGTATGTCTAGGCGTATACACACACAAACACACACAAACACACACAAACACACACACACACAAACACTGTGTGCCTTCTGTCTGGCTCTTGTCTTCTCTGTACTATATCATTTAGGATGATCTAAGGGAAGATTGTTAGATATTTCTATCGCCACCTACATACACTAGGACCGATATGCAAAATGCAAAACTTTATTTTTTTAAATAAAATGGACATGCGAATAAAACAGATCTCATGCGGCGTTAGATTTAAGAAAAGTAACGGCATTCCTTGGTACCTGAGTTGGGGAAAAAAAACGATCAGGCTAAAAAAATTTCATATACATGTTTCATTTTGTTGTTGTTGTTGTTGTGTGTAATATTTGTTTTGGGTTTCTTGTAGCAAATCTTTGATTTCTATTGCCAAATCCCCAGCAGATCTCCCATTTCTCTTGGCTTGTCTTTAGCAATAAGCAGTGGTCCATGCTCGGTTGGGTTGGTAGTAATTATGGGCATACTGTTCTTGGAAGCTAAATCTCAAGATGAGTGAGGTAGCTTTAGACAGACAGCAGGAAATGGTAAGGAAATGGAGCATAGCAGACACTCAGCGTGCGGCTCCCACTCCTTTACATGTTTACAATCTTCTCTGCATAATTTAACCCCATGCCTGCCAGCCCATTGCAGTTATTTCAGCCTCCAGGGCAGCTCGTTTTAACGTCTGTACAGCATGCATAGTGCCTGGCACCTAAATGGTTAAAACAACTTTCTAGGGCCTCATAGGTCATATTAACCTTTTAGGTTACCAGGAAGTTACTTCAAAGCTTTCAGTCTTTAATGGGTTAAATTTATATTTTCTTCACTTGCACTTAGCAGGTGGAAGGTTATTCGGTCATTTGTGTGTGTGTGTGTGTGTGTGTGTGTGTGTGTGTGTATGTTTGTGTTTATTTGTTTGTGTGTGTATATGCTTTTACCATGGTAATCACATTTTAAATACCTCTCTAGCCTTTCATGGGTTAAACTAACCTTTCGCCTGCACTAAGTTTGTGAGAAGGAGACTCATTTTATTGTGTGTGGTATGTCTGTGTTGTGTGTTCATGTTTTTGTGTTTCTTGACTTTTTTTAAGATGTTAGACATGTTCAATTTATTGCTGGTATTTCATAGTGTTTTAAATTATTGGATTAGATTATTTATATTTTATTTTATAGATAAGGTTATGATCGCATTCTTCTCCACAAGGAACAGTAAAACACAAAGCATAACTAACAGGGACTTTTATATATTTTATATATCGTTTGGGGTTACGATGATTAACAAATATGAAAATAAACTGATTCCTTTTAATAGCACACGTCTAAACATTTCCTAATATGTTACATGAAGTTATTCTGAAATCGAATAAATGTATTAAATTAAAAAAAATAATGAATTCGTATACACATATTCACATTACAAAGAAAGATTCCGATCTTGAATTAATCAAGCAGTGTGGTGAAAAAAATTTAAATTAAAAAATTTAAAGAATTTAAAAAAGCAAAAATATTATTACCGAATCAAGGAGTGTTTTTTTTTACTATTTTTCTCTTTTTACTATTTATATATATATACATTTTTGTATTTATCTGTTTGTTATCTACAATTTCCTAATTCTAGTTAGTTAATTTTCTTACTAGATTGGGGAGTGTGATTTTATTTCCGAGTTCCCTTTCCTTATTTTATAAATTTTTATACAATTTCATATTGACAAAAGCAGATGTGTAGCTACATGGTAAATATTATGTTAATCGCAAATTCTCTCCCAGGTCCTAATGGAAGCGGAAATTCAAAATGATTTTTTAATGTCTACTTGGAATTTGGATGTGTTAATGTAGCGACGCATTCCCATTATTGCTTTATTGATTGCTCATTGACCAACCCCTCTAAATCGTATTTACCACCCTCTGCCAATACATATTACCATATCTTAAGTGCACCTTTCATTATCCCCACAGATTCTACTGTCTAATAGTGGTTTTAATGGGCCAGCAACAGAACAGGGGCCATGGTCCCTGACTATTGCATTAATAGCTCAAAGGGGGCTCATACAGAAAATTAGCCTTAAACGAGCTCTGGAGATCTGAGATTGAAAGAGACATTTATCACGCTGGCTACCTTAACTCCACTCGTTTGCTTTCTCCACTGGGGACAACTCATTTCCTCTTAACTAAATTACTCTAGAAACGTCAGCTAGTGTTCTATAGGAAACATAACAAGGAGGGAGGAATCTGTCTCTGGCTAAGGAGAGAACATGATTTAGGAAATCCCCATTTAGATGTCAAGGATGGGCACCTTCCCCTCTGCCCCCCTTCCATCTCCCCCCATATCAATTTAATTTATCTTCTATTTTCTAAAATTTGATTGATACTTGAAGATTTTGTAAATTAGAGCATAGTGACGTAGACACACCCTAATTCAATATATATGGATAGTAAATTCTGGCCTAGTTCAATGCTGTCAATGGATCGATCCCCATAGCATTATATCAGTATAATAATAATTAACAACAAGAAATATTAGGGTTCATGGAATCAAAATGATAGATAGATAAATGAAGTCAGGCTACTCCGGTGTTCATTAAGTCTATGGAGAGGCTGTTTATTATTCATAAAAGTTTAATAATATGGATATGATGTGGCAGAATGTAAATGCAACATTTTAGTTGATCAATATAGTACAGGGGTGGCTAAGGGGTTAAACTCCAGTTGTTGCTGAATTACATCTATTGAAGAATTGCCACTCCCATGATGCTTTGCCAGCCTGAATATTTTATTAGCTAGACTGGGAAGGCATCATGGTAATTCTAATTCTTCTACAGTTCGGGGTGTATGGGAGTTCCTTTTGTATTGGAATGGAGTGAAATTGAGCATTATCGGAGGTTAGAATTATTGAGGAGGCCTCAACAAAGGAAAGCTGACACAAAAATTATACATTGTGCTAAGAACAGATGTGCAATATGTAGGCCATCAAATCTCCCAGCTCATCCATAATGGACAATATCTGCCACTATTATTATTTTCATTTTAGTTGATTCGCTATAATTCACTGTTTAGTGAGTGAACCCAGTAGGAATGACCCAATGTTGCTCTCTAGCAAGGCTGTTGTGTTGTCATTTATCCATCTCTGATCTGGTAAATATACAGCCATGGTTTGATAAACAGTAGCAAGTCCTAACGAACCTTCGAACATACTCAGCAGCCTCCTGTGTTCTATTGTTCATCCTGGCAGCTAGCACTCTCCAGACTGCCAGTATCATGGCATCTACTTAGTGGCTCAATATATGGCTGTCTGCTGCTGAATAACAGTCACAAAATCATTATATCATTATTTCCTTTCTGTTAAAAGCCAGGTGCATGCTTAATTCCTTTCATTACTTTCCATTAACCCTTAGAGGGCCGCACAACCAAACTTTTCACATTCCCCTTGCTGCACTTAGAGCAAAAATGATTTCAAATAGCAGACAATCCTGCAACTCCCTTAGCAGAGAAGGGACAGAACCCTTAAATGGGAACCTGACACCAAAAATATACCAAATTACAAGCTCATTTATAACAATACAATACAGTAAACTACATTATATATATTGGAGGTAGATACATTTAAAAAAAAAAAAATTAATGTTATGTAGTTACACCTCCTCAGTGAAAATTATTTTAAATTACTTAAGCTAAGGGTCAGATATCACAGTGACACATTTTAACATTTTGCTTGTGTAAGTGTTTTGGATGATTGATAAAGTGAAACGAAGGCTAAAGTGTATCTTGTCATCTGTTTAGTGTTGCTTGGCCAGTATTGCAAATAGCTGGCCAGAACACGTTCTGCTTTTCTCAGTAGACTCCTGGTGTAAGATTTGGATTATATTACACGTGTTGACATTATCACTCATTTTATCTGTACACTTTCTCTCATAACATAATAGCGAATGATGTGATTCCCTAGGTAATAAAACCAAGGCTTTGGATTATCTAGTTAAACACAGTTCCTATTTATTTACTGGGGTTGTTAACTAGTCTTCAAGTGCCACCATTTCAATTAACTTCCCAGAAAGGAAAATCTGTCAAATGTGTGTGATATTTTTATTTTTTATTTTTGCTTTGCATGCAATAAATTATTACTGCAAGCTTATTACACAGGGCATGCAGCACACCACAAACCCACTATTAACAGTACAGGTCAGCAAGACATCCAAGGCCAAATCGAATTGAACTTTTTCAGAGACCTGTGCTATGTGTGGACAGTTACCATTGCATTATGTTCAAAGTTTGGCAATTTAACAAAATAACTAAAGTAAAAACTAAACAAAATATAAATGAAACATAATAATATCTGCACTGTTGTTGCCTGTCATTTATAGTATTACTTAGATATAACGAAATAGATGGATCCCACTGACATAGCAGTGAAACACATGGGGATTTAAGGTATAAAGAATATTTCTGGGGCAAAGTTCTAAAACTGAAGCAATCACTATGGAAACCTACTGAATGTTCCTGCTGATTGCTCTAGAACTTTGGGTCAATTTTACTTTTTATACATAAACCCAAATGATTCTGATATGCTTTGTCTTCCAGTAGTTTTTACAATATAATATGGGGTAAATGGGGGTAATATTTAGGATCATAACAAAGGTGACCTCTTCTCACACTACAATTAGTGCTATTGTTTTGTAAGACTCTTGTTGATGTTTTTTATATGTGCTGTGCCTCTTTCTGAATAAGGGAGTAATTATACTACATATATATATATATATATATTTATATATATATATATATATATATATAAATATATATATATATATATTTATATATATATATATATATATATATATATATATATATATATATATATATATATATATATATATATATATCAGATACATCGATTAATTAAATGGTGGTGATAAATATGATTTTCTGTTTCTGGTATTAAAGCAATGTTTCATAGACCTTAGACGAGATTAAATAAACCATTACATCTAATTGTGAATTATTCCAAACACAGATTGTTGTTCTTAAATATCTCTCAGTGCAAAAATAAAGCAATCCTGCATCCCAAAGTATCAGCAAATCCTCATTGTTATTGTCATGCACTGTCATTGTCTGTCACAGAAAATATATAGAAAAATGGAAAGACGGCAATAAGCCCAAAATGAGTTATTGTAATTACATTTAATTAGTTTAATTAGTTAATTATTTTCCTTGCAGCTGTACACGAGACTGCAAACATTTGTTAAGTGCACACACTCTGTAACAGTGGGGTATTCTGAAACGCTTAAATCAAAGATGCGAATCTGCGCATGTATTTCTCATGATACATTTACTGAACTCATTAAACCCAACTGGCAAACATGCCACAAACAGGGCATAGGCATTCATTACCATAATGGTGGGGGTAATATGGATCTACACAGGATCACACATGCATTATCAGCATATTCATGTATACATATATTACATGTTTTATATATATATATATATATATATATACATACAAACACACACACACACATACATATATATACACATAAACACACACACACACACATATATATATATATATATACACACATACGTGTGTGTGTGTGTGTGTCTGCATGTGTGCGTGTGTTTGTAAAATAACAGTGAAATAAAAGTGATATAAAAGTGATACGGTGATTTTTTTTGAACTAACTGAATTTTTGAATGACGTACTACTTCATATATACGTATATATGCATATAACGATATGTGTGTGTGTATATATACATATATACACACACACACACACACAAACACACACACATATGTAGCAAGATACAGTTATAGCAGTGTCACAGTGTCAGGTAAGGAGCTCAGGATTTGAATAGGACAATTATACATACCTTTCTTAATAACTGACTGATCCAATATATTCATAGCGTTATTGGCATCTTCAACTGACTGTGGAGACAAAAAATACCAGTGCTGTTTTCATTAAATTAAATATGTATATGCGCACACACTGTATAATATTTATGTGCTAGGTAGTGTATAGATTTCTATTTAAATGAACTCACCAGGACATCGTTTTTATTATTCCACACACAGGAACACACTGTGGAAATGAATTATAGCCAAATGATTTGAGCTGATAAGGATGAGATGGGAAGTTTCTGTGTGAAGGAGCAATTTTCTTATCTTGTTACATATTGAATTACACACAGGATTGGGCACACTAATCCTCCGTGTTTGTTGTTTCAATTTTTATTTTATTCATTCTATTACAATTTTTTTTTTTAAGTTTGGGAGACATTATATGATTCTTTTGAATGTCCTGTGATTTCAACATTATAAAATGTCAGATTGCAATCAGTTGTCAAAACCTGATCTAAAACAAAAATTTAAATACACATTTTTCTATAATACCAACAAGTATAGTCATAGGGTACCACAAGATGTTCGCAGAGTAAAAAAAAAATCTGTAGTCGTATTTTCCCATTTAATCTGAGAAAATGAGTCAATTATTTCTCAGTCGCTTAATCTATTTATGATCCTTTTATGTGACTGTAAAACATTGAGATAAAATCTTTTGCCTATTAAATGTATTAAATGCATTGTGGCTTCTACTAATATATATTTTTTCAAAAACATAATTTACAGTAATTGAACACAGATCCATAATATCCATATAGTCTTATGGTATATAGGTATATATTCAGTGTAATACATGAAAAAAAAATCACATATTTCTACGCTAAGATATCAAAATATATCTGAAAAAAACTTATTTAAAAAAAAATAAGTGCACTTAATCAAATCCTGAATTAAACAGCTGATCTCAACGTTAGGGAAGATATCTAACTTACAAATAGGTAGTTCTTGTTGGATAAGACTTTAATGGTCTCTTTTAACACTTTAGTTCCATAAAAAGAAATGACTATGACTGTGACTATGCAGACCTAGATTCGCTAAATATCCTGCTGATTTCAGGACACAGGACTTGGGAGCCAGTGGTTCTAGATTGATAGGGATAATTAATTTAGCATCTTAGTCATTAGTCAATTTTAACCCTTTGAATGAAGGGTTACCCTTGTTGTGCCCCACAGCAGTCACTGCTATGACATTGGTGAACTGCAATTCCTATGATGCCCAGCCAGCCCTAAGACATCTGTAATAACTGTGGAAGCCACCAGTGGCCCCAATGACAGAATGCTAGCCATCTTTTATATTCCACCCAACAAGGGCCACTGTTCATGTTATTATGACACCTAATAGTGTGCAGTGAGTGCTCCGCCAGGTAAATTGCAATCCCCACGCTTCATCAGCAACGTGGTTAAGTTGTTGTAGTTAATGAGAAGAGTCTTGTCTGATTTTCTATCTAATTACATCGCCTGCTGCGTTTTTGTACAGGATATCCACACAGCGTGTTGGCACTTAATAGTCACTGAGAGGATCGTAAAGATTTAATTAGGACTGCATGCAGAAAGCAAGCAACAAACAACTGAGACTTGTAATTACTACATTTCTTCACTTTAAACTGGCTCAGGAAGGCCTGGCTACAGTGTGCATAGCAGGTATACACTGTGTGTGTGTGTGTGTGTGTGTGTGTATCTGAGTCTCTGTGCGTGTGTGTCCGTGTGTGTATGTCTGTGTGTGTGTGTCTCTCTCTCTGTGTTTGTGTGTGTCGATGTAACGCAGGGGTTAATACGCGTTCTCTGTAAATAAATTGCATGAAACTATTTAATGATTTAAAATGTCACCTCTGAATTGATGATTTAAAACATAAATACGGAAAACGACGAAAATTCGACCAGAATATCCGGTAAACCATGGTTTAAATACATTATATTTCATTACATCCGAGTGTAGTGTGTTTGTGCTTGTCTGGCTGTCTGTCTATCCATCTATCCATTCATCTATCTATCTATCTATCTATCTATCTATCTATCTATCTATCTATCTATCCATCCATCCATCCACATATACTAACCGTTGTTATATGTGTGCTAACTCCATATATTATGAAACGTGAATAGTGTATTAAATAGAGCATTTATTGGAATATATGTGAGGAAAGTTTATCCGATTTAGAAAAAAAATTAGAAAATTTGAACACATTTAGAAAATGTCAGACTGATCAATATTTGTCTACATTATTTCTTGGTTACATGATTACATGATTTCACCACGTAAAATGAATTACGAAATAATTATAACGAATTAAGGCTACAAATGAAACAAGTCTTTTAAAGTGCTTTGCAGATTCACAAGATCTTGGTACAGTAAAATAAATAAATAAATAAATAAACAAACTAATAATGTAGTAAAGTAAAAAAAAAATCACTTGAACGAACGCTGTCTATGCATAACATGAAGGTGACAATATTAATAATAATAAATTAATTAGTAAAACTTGCTCATCTAGTCCCGGTAAAAATGTCTATCTATCTATCTATCTATCTATCTATCTATCTATCTCTCTATCTGTCTCTCTATCTATCTCTCTATATATCTATCTGCCTGTCTCTCTATCTATCTATCTATCTATCTATCTATCTCTATCTCTATCTACCATCTATCTATCGATCTATTTATCTATCTATATTTCCTTTGCTGAATTCATAAACGGTTTATTAATGATATATATATATCATATATATTTTTTGGCAATAATTCGTTTTGTTTAGATTTCCAACGACAAACCAATATTTAAAATTGTCTTAACAAAATAGAAACAAATAAATATAACATGTATATATTTTTTCCCAGTGAAACACTTATTACTCCAACACTGCAATTAATATCGCAGTATTTTCAAAGTAAAAAAAGCTGATATTTTCTGGCTCTTGTAACAAATAGTGTATCAACCACTAATTCTACATTATTTTTCCAGGTAATTTAGACACAAAGTTCTTGACCTAATACTAGGCCCACGTTTTATTTTCCATAAATAAACTATTATATCACATGTATCTTATATAATTATTATTTTAATTTTTTTTAAATGGACCTTATATTAATGCTAGCGTTTCTATTTTCTTTCCTTACCTGGACATCTTCCATTCCTGGGGGGCCTATCCCATGTAGAGACAGGCCATCCCCCATGCCAGAATCCAGACCATGATGAGCTGAGTGGAGGAGAACATCGGGCCTCCTCACTGAGTGGTAGTCCCTTCTAGGATCAAGTCCAGAGAGCTGGGGCAATGAAGCTCTGGGTTGGGGCAAGAGGGATCCAGTGTCCGAGCCAACATCTTGCCTTTGCCTTTGTCCCCAGGGGTGCTGCTGGGGCTGGTGTAGAGGGTTTAGTGAGTATGGATCGTTGACATGAGAATAGGGGTCCTGTGTTTGGTGGTATGGTAGAGGTTGGTATGGTGGTGGGAAGTAAGGTGGCTGAAAGTCCGAGGAAGGGGTATGTGACAACGGAGGGGCACTTGAATAGGGTCCTTGAGAAACTGAGCCCAATTGGGACAGCCTTGAACTGTGACTGGGCACACCGTCATGGCGGTCCTAGAGAAAGAAAATAGGATATTGTCAAGAAGAACACGCTCAAATGATATAACCTACAATAAAAAGTTTCAAAAAAAACAATAAAACTAATATATATACAATATATAGCAACCTCAGATTATGTCTCCTTTAATAAAAAGTTTCAATAAAAAAATAAACCAAATATATACAATGTTTATAAACCTTAGAACATATAAAAAGTATCAGTCGAATAAAAAATACAAGAAAGGTTGCATATAAAAAAAAAAAATTGCCAGTCACAAGAGAGCTTTATAGCCCCGAATTTGTAAATACAGAATATCAGTTACATGTATAAATATGCAATCACAAAACAAAACAAAAACACGACAGCACTGTCAGGATCTCCTAAATTCTTATTATTTGTTACTAAATTTAAGCATGACAAAATAACACAGTAAGACTTATTCAATTGAACTCAATGTAAATTAATATTATTACATTTAACATTTTTAAAGGCATAATAATGTGATAATTCACACCATTTAAAAACCAAAACATTAAAGCAGATTTAGTGCAGTGTAAAATCTTTATCCCCATGTCAGTGAAATCGCATACACTTCTAAATAGCATTAAAAGAAAAAAATAGCACTCTGTAGAAATTAAATGCCAAATCAATTTGTTTCAAATAAATTGTAATCATTTGCTGAAAGGGCAGGCGTCAAAGTTTAAAATGACATTTTAAGATACTATAACATGTTTAAAAAATAATTAAAAAAAATAGAAAATTAAAAAAAAATAAATAGAATACAATTACAATAAAAAAAACCCTAATAATATTTCCGGTTACCTACAAAATATATTAAAATAATTTGAAAACAGAAGCACAATCCTTCAAATCAGTGTAGGACTAGTAGCAACAACAAAAATCTCCATGAATTAAACAAAGGTATTTCTGGGAAAAGTGCACTCCAATTCGCCACAAGCAAAAACGAAGAAGTTTTTTTTCCCCCTCTCTCTAGCTGATTCTAGTCCACCTCACACCGATAATAAGTATTCTGAGAAAGCCAGCTGTACCCTGCAATTATTGCCTGAAATTATAGAGCCAAAGGCATTTAAAGAAAAAAAAAAAAAGGAATTAAATTAAAAAAAAAAGAAAAAATTCAAGCAACTCACCATAGCTGAATAGGTGTGGACTAACATCTGGGCAAAAGGCGAGGTTCTTGCAAACAGTTAAATGAAATAAAATGGGCTCGTGTAGAATAAACACACTGAAACACTGCTTGAGATGATTCCAAGACTATCCATCAAGAAATGTCCCCAAAGTAGGAAATATATATATGTATATATTGTTCTCTGTGTGTGTTTGTGAGCTGCAGGTTTAATCCTCTTCTACCCAAGGCAAGGCTCAGACTGTTCAGAAGCCCCTTCCCTCTGCCTCTCTACACCGCCTCATAATAATTGATATTCATGACTATTAATATTACACGACTACTTTAAAGGCAGAATGGAGGAGAAATGGAGCGTGGAACTGCAGCAGGCTCCCCAGCTCCCCAACCATTGTAAGTGACGTTCATCCAGAGGAGAATTACTAGATGTAATCAGACAAGGGGGCTGGGATAGGAAGTCTTGGGTAAAAGTTTAGCAGAGAGAGAAAAAAAAAAAAAGATGCACAGTGTCAATTAAGTTGGAGGAGAGGCTGCACAGCAATGGGGTGTGGGATTAAAGGGACACTGCATCTTAAAGCTAAAGAGATTTCATTTACCCTGTACTTAATTAGACGTTGCTAACAACCTTCGGTGATTAATGCTAGCACTATCAACAAATATTTTTACACACAGACACACACACACACACACAAATGCAAACACACACACTATAAATAGCACAGACTCACACAATTTTTATACTACATGTAATATAGAAGAGACATAATATTTGATATAAATAATATATTTACAGACACACACACATTATAATATAGCACAGAGTCACACAATTGCTATACTATAATTAAGATAGAGATTCACACATATATTTTATATAAATATGTATAATATATATATATATATATACAGACACACACACACACACACATACACACACACACACAAACACACACACACACACACTATAATATAGCACAGACTCGCACAGTTATATTATGTATAATATAGCACAGACTCACACAGTTATTATGCTATATATAATATAGCACACTCACACAGTTATATTATATATAATATAGCACAGACACTCACAATTATTATACTATATATATAATATAGCACAGACTCACAGTTATTATACTATATATATAATATAGCACAGACACAATTATTATACTATATATAATATAGCACAGACTCACAGTTATTATACTATATATATAATATAGCACAGAAACACACAATTGTTATACTATATATAATATAGCACACTCACACCGTGTTTATACTATATATAATATAGCACAGACTCACACAGGTATTATAATATATATATATATATATAACATAGAGACGCACACATGATATTTTATATGTATAATATATTTACAGACACACACACACACACACACTATATAACATGACAGTACAAAGTCACACACTGTTCACATACTGGTTCTGGCATATTAAAGCATATTTTCGAATTGAATTATTTTGTGTATGTGCTGAGGAACTTGAAAAACAACTTATTTTATTGTTGTCTTTCTTTCCTTTTCAATTTTTTTTTAGTTTTTTTTTTCTGTTTTTCTGGAGGCTATTTTCTGCTGCAGGATTTACGAAGAGAGCGGATTTCTAGTTACTCAGAGAGCCAAAGGCCATATATGAACTCTGTCTGATGTTCTGTGAACTCCCAATACTGCCCTGGCCCTGCTATCTGACTGCATCAGGATACAATCAAATAGTACTAATAACAATTACAATATAATATAGCTAATGATAAAATACATGTTGGGTCAATATAGACTTTTACTGATTCACAAAGAGTCCCATTTACATACACCACACCCAGTGTCTCTGACAAATTGGCTTGTATGTAATCAGTACACCGAGAAACTGAGAAATCCTCTCTACATGTCATAATTCTGGTAAAAGGATCAGAGATATTTCAAGGGAGATTGGTTCTAGTTATACTTAGCCAAGTGATATATATATATACACATTGAGGCAGTAAGCAAGATAAGGGCAGACATGTTAACTCTTTGAGCACCAGAGGCCAGGGAAGTATTAGAAAGAGAGAGTTGGGGTTGGGGAGTTAAAAGAGAGAGAGGGGAGAGGTGTGTGTGTGTGTGTGTGTGTGTGTGGGAAGGGATGGGAAGGGATGGGAAGAAAGAGACAGAGGTATCCAATGTAGGGAAATAGAGAATAAGAGACAAGTAGTGAGAAACTGAGAAAAATTACAGGAAGAGAAAGGGATAGAGACACAGGAAGGGGACTAGACAGACAGTGAGTTATGAAGAGAGAGAGGGGGATTTAGAAAGGAATGACAGCAAGCGAAGGGAGAGAATGTCAAAAAGAGGGAGAGAGAATTAAAAAGAGATAATCACAAATAGACACAATGAATGAAAAATGATACGACTTGAGTGATAGACAGCCACAGACAGAGAGAATGAGTGAAAGGCATAGAAATAACGAATGGAGAGAGATAGTCACCAACACACAGAGAGAGAGTGAGAGAGTTAGTGACAGAGACAGTTAGTGACAGAGAGTTACTGACAGAGAGACAGTGACCTATACAGAAAGTGACAGAGAGAGATAGTGACAGAGAATGAGAAAGATAAACAGATAGAAATAATGAATGTAAACGAGAGTGTGAGACATTAGTCAGAGACAGATAGAGAGAGAGAGAGAGTGACAGCAAGACAGAGTGTTAGAGAGATACAGCCCCAGTTAGGCTGAATAAAAGGAGTGAGGGGCTCGGATCGCATTGAATGGAACTAATTCAGCATATGCCGGTTTGTTCCCCTCGTTCCGCTGGTAATTACCCTGACTGGGCTATTCAGGAAAGAGACATTTCAGCTAAGAGACAGTCGGCTGCCTGCAGTGAGGGTGCACATAGATCCAGATCGTTTTAAGGAGCAAGTTCCCAAAGCCCCAACGTTCTCATTTGCATTCCACTCTCTAAATCGTATAAGAACAAAAAAATAAAAATAAAAAAGCAAAAAACAAAACAAAAACAAAAACAAACAAAATACAAAACAAGACAAAATGAAAAAACAAAAAGGAAAATACTAAAACAAAAAAAGGTTACTCAATCAGCTCACTCTAAAAACTACACCGAAAATGAATAATATCTGCTAAATGAATGGATTTTATGTGGGGGCTTCTGTCATCCAACTTGATTTCCTGAAATCCCACTCAGATGTGAAACAATGGCAGTATTTTTTAAACATTAACTATCATGGGTTGGGGATAGTGTGTGAAAGCATGACCTCTGTCTATTCTGGTCACAGAAAGGTCCCACTTCCCCAAGTAAAATGACCACCCCCATCTCACACCAAGACCAAAACACACACTCACTCATTGTTACAAAGAATCAACATACACAAGACACAGTCTTCCAGCACAATACAGAGACTCTTTAAATAATGGAACAATTCAAGCTCAGCTGTCCAACCAAAGTTACCTTCAACTTCTAACAAACCATTTCACTGACAACAAATAAAACAAACAAAAATATCTATCTTCTTACCATTAGAAAAGAAATACCAAAAATAATTCATAATTAAATATGATCTAGATATTTTTTTTAACTGTCAAAGGTTAAACAATTTAACAATTTCTTTAATTCTGAGCTTTTTAATTCATATATTTCTATTCTATTATTAATGTATAGTATATAATATATCTAAAAAGGAATCTATATGTATGTGTGTGTATGTATGTATGTATTTATTTGTGTGTGTATGTATATATTTGTGTGTTTATGTATATATTTATGTTATATACAAAATATTCATAATTTTACAAATTGTGTGTATATATATATAATGTGTGTGTGTGTGTATATATATATATATATAGTTTGTGTGTGTGTGTGTGTATATATATAATTTGTGTGTGTGTATATATATATATATAGTTTTTGTGTGTGTATATATAATTTGTGTGTTTGTATATATATAGTTTGTGTGTGTGTGTGTATATATATATATAGTTTGTGTGTGTAGATATATAATTTGTGTGTGTGTGTATATATATAATTTGTGTATATATATGGATGATATGAAGAGTGTTATAGAAAATAAAAGACATTATAAACAAGATTTAAGATTAAAGCGCTACATCTAATTATATAATGCAATAGAAGTGTAATTGCAATCTAAATCTTGTCCACAAAGGCCAGTTTAATGGTTCAGGAGAGGCTGTGAATGGAGGAGATGTTAAGAAATGATGCTGTTACCTCGTAGATATCTTCATATTTAACATTTTCCACTAGTTTCCAGAGCATGATGTTAGATCGTTCAATGTGAGGTGAGCGCATTCATGTGAGCAGCAGATGTCTGAGTTCTCACTGTGCCCCTGTCTGCAATGATCCAAGTAGAACTCTGAAAAGGGGGGATAGACACCACATAGACTACCCACCACTCCACAGCATAGCAAGTTCTGTATGGGGCTGGTAACAATGGGCTGAACATTCAGAACACAGCACACACATTGCCACAGCACATCTGACATATGTATTGCATGGTGGGTGCATGGGTGTTGTATGTGCATTAACATGCATGTAAATGTCTTTGTTTCAAAGACACTGGTAAACAGCAGTGTGCTATAATTAGTTCACTTTGTATCCAGTTATACCACAAACAAACATTCTTATTGCAGAACAATCTCAAATAGTTATAGTTATATATACAAATACAGAATAATATATATATATAGTATACACACACACACACACACACACACACACACACACACTTAAATAATTTGGCAATCTAATCTATCCATCTATCTATCTATCTATCTATTGACATTTTTTAGAGCACATGATTGTATTATATAGTCAGTAGAAAAAAATGACCATTTAAAACAAATTGTTTTGAATCGTTTCATTTTTTACCTTTTTATTTATTTAGCAAAATAAAATGCTGAATTTTGATCAGTTGACTTTTTTTGAACAGTAACCAAGTTATGTGGATTTTATTTCCTATTTCACTCTATTCTTATGCTGAAATCGTTCGATTAATCATAACTGATGAGGGATAAACTGTATATAAGCCAGGTAGCTGATACCTCCATTAAACTGGCAGATTCAATTTTTGTTTCCCACTGTTGTGTAGAAATAAATTTATTTTATTTTATCTATTTTGAATAGAAGAGGATTAAAAAAACAAACAATGTTTTCTTTATATGGGAAAATATTACCATATTCCCTATAAAATGCAGAGAAGGGAACAGCTTGCTGCTATTTCCAGTTGTGTTTGATATAAATAAATGACAGCAAGGTATAATACAAGTGATTTTATTTGAAGGTATTACATGTGATGAGAGGGAGCAGAGCTCAGTGAGGCAGATTGCTTGCAACTGCAATGATGATTGTGTCATAAAGTGTAGGGATCTGAGATGTGGAGGTACCTCTCTCTTACATTACAGGAGGTGGGCACAGCCTGTGATGCCAAGAAAGGGCACCCAACACATGTTTTGTAACCAAAACACAAGCTGTAATGTAGCCATTAATAAAAGTTCATAGCAAAATTATAATTCAATAAAAAATAATTACATTAAAAAACAACAACATACTCATCTATGTGTAGCGGTTTATTAATCTATATCATTTGTACTATTTATATGTTTGTTTATGTTGTGCGTGTCTATGCATGCAAGAATATAGTTTGGTATGTGTTTATCATAGTCATCATATTTATCGATGTATTTTTCAACTAAATGAAAATGAAATATAATTTCTATATATTTGTAATATAATTATAAATATATATATATATATAATTATATTATATAATTATATATATGTATATATAATATATTTTTTAATTTTGTTATGTATTTGATAAATACAAATATATATTTATATGTCTAATACTATTTTAGTTATAGTTTTCGCTATGTCTTATTTTAAATGGTATAAGTTAATATAACAACGATTCGGTCAATTAGAAACTAACTTTAACTGTAATATTTCCACGTTGGTTGATGCAGTCACATTGTCTTGTAAAGAATCTTATTGATTAATAACTATTGCTATTTGTTTTTGTGAATATCAAAAAAGTAAATGGCTTTACCTTGGGATATGTACAACAAAACAACACAAAACAAGGAAACGGATAAGTGGTACAAATTTATATTACACATATTTTTATTTACTGCATCAACATACATGGAAGTGCAAACAATATACAATATTTATATAGTTAATTTAATTTAGTTGGTATGATTTAAAAAAATATAATATTTGCATTCATGGCAAGCTGCAGTTCCAACAACACTGTGTAACATTTTTTACCCCGAAATTATGCAAATATAATTTAATCGACAGAAAAAAACATGCCATTTTTGTTTAATATTTATTTCTCGACATTTTCATACCTGATAGTTACAAAATAAACAATTATTTTAAGTACTCGAGTGTGCTTGCTGGAGGAAAAAGATGTAGAACGCAAAGGAAACAGGTATCTTGGTAAACAGCGCCCTCTCTTGCACGATTTAGGGTAATGCAGAAAATGAAAAAAGTTCTAGACTCCAGGAAATATTTTGCCTGCTAGTTATTCTCAATGCATCCACAAATGTGTTACGTTTTATACACGGATTTGTACTGTATTCTGAGTGAATTATAATTACAGGAGGCAGGAGCAAATCTGCATCAAAAACAGCCACCAGATTGTAACAAGGAAGTGACATCAATAAAACAATATTCCTTTAACTCTACAGTATTCTCAACTTTATTTTTAATTATTATTAATTATTAATTATTATTATTAGTGGTAATAGCAGTTTTATACAACAAGTTACATCTGGATCTGCATATATCCATATCAGTGTGTCTGTCTGTCTGTCTATCTATCTGTCTGTCTGTCTATCCTTGTATTTTTAAAGAAAAATACTTATTTTGAAAATGTTTGTAGATCTGCTTAATATTTGTACTTTACATTTTTATTTGCTCGCTACACATATTGTCATGTTACAGTAGTAACTGTGTTCTCCAAGTAAATAGTTCACAATGTATTTACGTTAACCCAATATTCAGGCCCTACATGTTCTAAGCAGGTGCAGTGATCAAGATGCATGTTGTGAAAGTGACCCACCATACAGGTCCTAGACTTGAAAACACACCCTCAGGTGGTGATTTCAAACCTTGCTCAGTCTGATGCCAATTTCTTTATTTCCACAAGTGTTTACAGTTGGATTTTGGAGCTGTCACGGTTATTAATTAATGACCCATGGGTTTATTCACTAAATTCCAAATTATACTAATTCAATTCACCTGTAAGAGCTTGGGAAGTGTAATTCTAAGTTCTCAGATTTTTAAAAAACATTTAACTGCAGGAACCTCACTGTTTTGTGAATAAAAATAAAAAGGGTTTAATTTAACAATGTACAATTGCTGCATTTATAAATAATTAGTAAATACAGACATGTAATCAGGGCTGCCATCATAAATTTTGGGGCCCTTAACACTGAAGATCAGGGCCCCCGGGGGACCGCCACCAATCCGCCCCCAAATCCGGCCTACAAATCCCACCCACAGGACTACACACACAGACACAAACACACGCATTGATACAAAAAGGACTCAGATACATACACACAAAGATACACACATACTGACAGACACACACACACACACACATACCAGCAGACACAAATACTGAAACAGACATACAGGGACATTTTAGCCCCGAGGCAAACAAGGCATTTGCCTTGGGTGGCATTTTTCAGGGGGTGGCAATAAAAGCCGCCCCCAAATGCCCAGGGCAAATGTCTTGTTAGCCTTGCGGCTAACAGACATGCTTGCTGGCTGCTGGGGGGTCGGCGCTGGCAAAGGAGCACTTTCCCCTGAGCTGTCTGCTCAGCTCCCTCGCGCGCCGCCCACCCAGCAGCCAGCCCAACAGCGCCAGGGAGAGGGAGAACCCTCCCCCCCCAGCATTCCTAAAGGTAAAGAGGCTGGGGGGGGGGGTTTAAATTAAAAAAAAAGTGAGTGTGTTAATGTGTGTGTGTGTTTGTGTGTGTATCTGACTGTGTGTGTCTGTTAGTGTGTGTTTGTCTGCTAGTGTGTGTTTGTCTGTTTGTGTGTGTCTGTGTGTGTCTGTTTGTGTGTGTCTGTTAGTGTGTGTCTGTTAGTGTGTGTGTGTCTGTTAGTGTGTGTGTGTCAGTGTGTGTGTCTGACAGTGTGTGTCTGTTAGTGTGTGTGTGTCTGACTGTGTGTGTCTGTTAGTGTGTGTGTGTCTGTTAGAGTGTGTGTGTGTGTCTGTTAGTGTGTGTGTCTGTCTGTTAGTGAGTGTGTGTTTGTTTGTTAGTGAGTGAGTCTGTTAGTGAGTGTGTGTGTGTCTGTTAGTGAGTATGTGTTTCTGTTAGTGAAAATGTGTGTGTGTTTAGAATGCAGGCCAGGGGTGAAGGGTTGGGTGGGGGTGGCGTGTGTTTTGGATAAAACTTACCAGGAAAGGTTAAAGGGTCTTAACATGTATAGTTTGGAATAAAGATGAGACGGGGGGATATGATAGAAACATTTATATACATAAATGGAATCAAGACAGTAAAGGAGGAGACTATATTTAAAAGAAGAAAAACTACCACAACAAGAGGACATAGTCTTAAATTAGAGGGACAAAGGTTTAAAAATAATATCTGGAAGTATTACTTTACTGAGAGGGTAGTGGATGCATGGAATAGCCTTCCAGCTGAAGTGGCAGAGGTTAACACAGTAAAGGAGTTTAAGCATGCATGGGATAGGCATAAGAATATCCTAACTATAAGATAAGGCCAGAGACTAATGAAAGTATTTAGAAAATTGGGCAGACTAGATGGGTCAAATGGTTTTTATCTGCCGTCACATTCTATCTTTCTATTTCCCTTTTCTGGAAAAAAAACGATGGCCCCTTTGCTAAGAGATTGGGTACAAAAGCTTGAGGCTATTAGGGTCATAGAGGAAGTATGTTTCTCTTTAACAAAGAAATACTCACAATATAGGAAAACTTGGGAACCATGGATCAATTTTCTACAAGGACACCCTCCTCTTTGACCACTACCCTCAGAAATGTATAGACACAACTAACTGTCCCTAAGAAACCAACTTCCCAAACAGCACCAGGCTGGTTTGTTTTGATTTCTTTTACAGTATTTTGTTGTTTCTTACTTTGTTTCTTACTTTCTTTTACCCTCTAGTCTTTTTGTTCCTTACTTACTTATTATGCTCAAGACTTTATCTAGACATGGACTGTTGGCTATACCCATATCAAGATATTTTCCTCAAAATCGAACCTGGCACTCTTCTATTGTCCTTTGGACCATGTTTAATATAATGTTTGCTATGCATACATCGTCACTTCTGACAATGTTCTGTACTTGACATGTTTCTCTAATAATCTTTGAAACTGTGAATCGGGCAACAAATCTGTTTTTGATATGAACTAGCTGGCACTATTGTATCCTATGGCTTT